CCACAACGATGCCACCCGAAGGTTGCAGGAACAGCAACTCATATTCCATTTGGGAACCCTGCAGCCCAATGGTATCAATGTGGATTTCACAAGCTTCAAAATCTCCCCTACCCCCCCACTACCGCATCCCAAAACCAGTCCAGCTCGTCCCTGCCTCCCTAACCTGTCCTTCCTTCCACCTATCCCCTCCTCCCACCTCAAGCCACACCTCCATCTCCTACCTCCTAACCTCATCCCGCCCCCTTGACCTGTCTGTCCTCCCTGGACTGACCTATCCCCTCCCTAACTCCCCACCTACACTCACCTTTACTGGCCCCATCCCTGCCTCTTCGACCTGTTTGTTTCCTCTCCACCTATCCTCTCCTCTATCCACCTTCTATCCACCTCCCACTCGCTCCCTATTTATTTCAGAACCCCCTTCCCCTCCCCCTTTTCTGATGAAGGGTCTAGGCCCGAAACGTCAGCCTCTCTGCTCCTATGATGCTGCTTGGCCTGCTGTGTTCATCCAGCCCTGCACCTTGTTGTCTAGGATTAAGGAGAATCCCAGGGTGTTTTATATATATATTAGGAGTAAAAAGGTAGCTAGGGAAAGAGTAGGCCCACTCAAGGATAAAGGAGGGAAGTTATGTGTGGAACCAGAGAAAATGGATAAGATCCTTCATGGATACTTTATGTCAGTATTCACCAAAAGAGGGATGTAAGAGATGATGAGGTTAAGGAATACCCTCGGGCAGGTCAACATAACGAAGGAGGAAGTACTGGGTGTCTTGAAATGCATTAAGGTAGACAGGCTCCCAGGGCCAGATGGAATCTATCCGAGGATTCTATGGGAGGCAGGGGAGGAAATAGCTGAGGCCTTAACAGATATCTTTGCATCCTCTTTGGCTTCAAGCGAGGTTCAGAGAAAAAGTAGAATGATTAATGTTGTTCCTTTGTTTAGGAAGGGAAACAGAGATGATTCGGTCAGCCTGACATTAGTAGTGGGGAAGCTGTTGGAGAAGATTATGAGAGACAGGATTTATTTATTTGGAAGCGAATGGACTTGTTAGGGATAGGCAGAATGGGTTTGTACCAGGGAAGGTCATGTCTCACCAACTCGACTGAGTTTTTTGAGGAGCTGACAAGAGTGATTAATGAGGGAAGGGCAGTGGATGTTATCTACATGAACTTTAGTAAGTCATTTGATAAGGTACCTCACAGCAGGTTGGTACAAAGGTAGAGTCTCATGGGATGAACTGGCTAGAAGGATACGAAATTGGCTTGCTCACAGAAGACAGAGAAGCTGTGGTGGAAGGGTGCTTTTCAGAATGGAGATCAATAACTAGAGGCGTTTCGCAGAGATCAGTATCAATACGGGGACCTTTGCTGCTTCTAATATATATGTGATCCGGAAGAAAATGTAGGGGGTCTCATTAGTAAATTTGTGGATGACCCTAACACTGATGGAGTTGCAGGTAGTGAGGAAAACTGTCAAAGGATACAATGAGATATGATAAATTGCAGATTTGGGTAGAGAAATGGCAGCTGGAGTTTAATCCGGACGAATGTGAGGTGATGCATTTCGGAAGATCAAATTTAGCTGTGAATTATACAATAAGTGGCAGAACTCTGAAGAACATTAACATAAAGGAGGTTCTAGGTGTACAGGTCCACAGATCCTCGCAAGTGGCAACACAGGTGGATAAGAGGGTCAAGACGACAGACAGCATCAGCCAGGGCATCAAATATAAAAGGTTAGAAAGTTATGTTACAGCTGTATAAAACTTTAGTTAGGCTACATTTGGAATATTGTGTGCAGTTCTGGTTGCCATACTATGAGAAGGATGTGGACGCTTTGGAAAGGGTGCAGAGAAGGTTTACCAGGATGCTGCCCCGTCAGGAGGATTTCAGTTATGAGGAGAGATTGGATAAACCCAGATTGTTTACACTGGAAAAATGGAGGCTGAGGGGCAACTTGATAAAGGCCTACAAAATTATGACAGGCATGGATAGGATGGGTAGCCAGAGCCTTTTTTCCAGGGTGGAAAGGTCAACTACAAGGTGGCACAGGATCAAGATGAGAGGGGGAAAGTTTAGGGGAGAAGTGCAGGGAAAAGTTTTCACACATAGGTTGGTGGATGTCTGGAATGCACTGCCAGTGGAGATGGTGGAAGCAGGCATGTCAGCAACATTTAAGGTCTATCTTGATAGACACATGAATGGGAGATTAGACAGACAGAAACTATGAATGGGCAATAAGTAGTGTGTCTAAATAAGAAGTAGGAATTGGTGCAGGCTTGGTGGGCCGAAGGGCCTGTTCCTGTGTTGTATTGTATAGCATGATGATAGTGCCACACAACACAGTTTCACAAGGACTGTTAGGCAGGCACTTCTCCTGAGACTGTTATGGACAAATGGATCTGCAGCAAACAGGTTGGTGAGGATGAGGTCACATACGTTTTTCCCTCTTATTGGTATTCTCAACACCTGCCACTGACCCAGTACAGTAACTAAAAACTAAATGTATTGCAGATACTGTAAATCAGAAACAAAAACAGAAAAGCTAAGCAAGTCTGGCAGCATCTGTGGAGAGAAATCAGAGTTAACGTTAAAGATTGAGTGGCTCTTCCTCAGTACTTGCAGAAGGACACTCAACCTGAAACAAGTACAGTAACTATATCCTTTAAGACTCAACCAGTTTGAAGATTAGTGGTATTACTGAACGACTCATGGTACTGGATATTGAAGTCTCCCAACCAGAGCACACTTTGACCCTTGCCGCCTCAGTGCTTTATCCAGGTGTTGTTCAATATAGAGAAATACTGATTCATCAGCCTATAATGGGGTAACATGGTAATCAACAGCAGGTTTCTTTGGCCATATTTGACCTTAAACCATGAGACTTCATGGGGACTGCAGTCAGTCAATGACAAGGAGTCTCAGGGAACTCCCTCCTGACTATATACACTGCGGCAACACCTCTGCTGGGTTTGTTCTGCCAATGGAACTGGACATATCTAAGAATGGTTATGACAGCGTCTGGGACATCAACTATAAAGTACCAAACTGAGAATATGACTGTCAAACCATTGCTTGACTAATTGAGAGACAGCTCTCTCACAGTTTTGGCACTAACCCACACAAATTCATGAGGATTTTGCAGGCTCAACACCGTCAACTTCTGTACTTGTATAATTGGTAAGGCTCCTGTGCACTGATTTTGTCCAGGAGAATGCACAAAATATATTGTTAGCAAATCTTACGCCTTCATAATCTTTAGAGCCATGACATCTTTGCGCAGAGTGGAGAGTTCTTCCTCTTGCTTCTTTTTCTCCTTGTGCAGAAACTGGATGTAATCAATAGCTGTGGAAATAGAAGAATTTTAACATTCCAACAAAATAATAACACTTACATACTGAAGGCACTAAAAGCTACCCATCTTTTGAACCCTGGACTCAGCCTATTGCTCATAAAAGCTATAGTTTGGACTCTATTTTATAAAAGCTTTTGTATAAAATTAGAAGAGGATTCCTTGCTCTTTTGATCCCCAGATCCAAGTTGCAGATGTTAATTTCTGCCCAAATGACAGGACAGGATTGAATAAAGATTTTGAATACATGAAAATAAGCAAAGCTCATTTTCATATCATTAAATCCAGTAAGTTAGCAAACCAAATTACAAGTTTGTATTGCTTTTTTTTTCCACCTACTTGCCTGAATAGTTGCCCAGGAAATGTCAGACAGATAAAACCATATCTCGCTCATCGGTGAGCCAAAGTGACCCAACCTCACCATCTGACTTGCCCTCAACCTCCAGACCCAACCACACACTTGACTCCAAAATGCTCCCCCAGCAGCCTCAATAGATGCATGTCACATACCTGCCATCTACACACCTGCCACCTTATCCCTTAACTTCTCTCTATAGCTTTTAAATGGTTTTGGCTATTTAAACTTTTTTTATACCAGAATATAGCAGCTAATCATGTAAAAAAATGGGCATGAAGAATCTGTGATGATTCTCTCTGCAAGGATTCTTTCATCTGATGAATTTGGGAAATAGACGAGTAGTCTTTTTGCCTGATCAGGGTAGGAAATAAGGCACCTGACCCTGATAAAGATGACTTGGGCCTTAACATTTAATTTCAATTTCCGAAAACTTTTGCAAGCAGAGATCAGTGAAACAGAAAAAGGCTTCTGATCCATGATAATGGGGCCAATAACAGCCTTAGTAATGTTCAGTGGTAGAATCACACGATACAGAATATTGGAGAAAGAATAAGCCATTTGGCCCTTTGAGCCTGCTCGGCTATTCAATAAGATCATAGTTGATTTAATCATGGCTTCAACTCCAATGTTCTGACTGCCCACCATAATCCTTAACTCCCATATCTAGTAAAAATATATCTAACTCAGCTGTTAAATAAATGCAATGATTTAGCCATCACTGCTTCCTGGGGACGAGAATTCCACAGACCAACAGGAAAAAAACAATCTGTCTTAGATGGAAGGCCTCTCATTCTTAAACTGTGTCACCTAGTTCTAGAGTTCCCTACGAGAGGTAACATATGATCAGTATCTACCCTATCAAGTTCCCTCGGGATCTTATTTTAAGATGACCTTCATTCCTCTAAACTCCAACGGAGTTTTTTCAATTTTTTAGTTCATTTATAGGTTGTGGGCATTGCTGGGTTACTGCCCATTATCAACTGTTCAATGAATAGTTAAGAATTAAATGTGGGTTGCTGTGGGTCTGAAGTCACATGTAGGCCAGGCAATGTGAGGAAATCAGATTTCTTTCCTGAAAATACATTAGTAAAGCAGTTGGGTTATCACAACAATCAACAGTGGTTATACAGTCACCACTAACTAGCTATGTTCAAATTCCATTTTTTTCCCGAAACCCAATTTCACCATCTGGTGTGGTGGGATTCAAATCTATCTCCCAAGAATATAAACTTGGGGTTCTGGATTATCTGACTAATGACATTATTGCTACGCCACCATCTCTCCCAAAATAGAATCCTTCCAACCCAGGAAGGAGTTCAGAGAACCTTCTCTGAATTGCTTCTAACCCGAATATGTTTTTCTTTCAAATAAGGTGATAAAAACTGTACATTATTATATCGGTGGGGCAGAGAAGCTTTAGCTCGTTTCAGTGCTTTCAATCCTTCATGCTAGTATTAATCTAAGCTGCTGACAACATGCGGGGAAGGATGCTCACACAACGTCTTCAGCAAGGGATAACTCCTAGGTTGACGAACAGAAAATATATTTATTACATTTTACTTATTGGGCAGCACAGTGGCTCAGTGGTTAGCATTGTTGTCCCACAGTGCCAGAGACCTGGGTTCAATTCCACCCTTGGGTGACTGCGTGGGTTTCCTCTGGGTGCTCTAGTTTTCTCTCACAGTCCAAAGATGCATAGATTAGGTGGATTGTCCATGCTAAAATTGCCCTGTATTGTCCTGCATTTGTCAACGGTTACAGGGAAAGGGTGGGTGCTCTTCGGAGTGTTGGTGCAGTCTCATTGGGCTGAACGGCTTCTTTCTGCACTGCATAAATTCTATGACATTATGCTCCCATCTGTTAAATGTCTGCCTATATTACATCAGGAAATGCAGTATTCTTTACTAAAGATTAAGAGTCAGAATTGTACATACTTTTCTGAAGAACTGTGGCTTTACTCAATTTCTGGGATCCAATCAAGAAATCTTGTTGTTGGCACGTAGGGACGATTGACTGTAATTCATCATATCCTTTCTGTGAGACAATCATTCAGAAATTGTTCAGAATGAGTCAGCTAACCACAAATTTGCTGTACAAACCTTAGATACTGCAGCTTTGAAGCTCAGTTTAAATTTAAATGTCACACCTTGATGGCATCCCGTCTCTTTTGCTCAGCCTGTGTGTGAGCCTGTCTCCGTCGGTCCTTATAAGTTTCTTTATAGGCAAGTTCCTGCCTGTAATCACTATCTTCATCATCTGCAGTTGGAGAACAATCATTGTCTGTCATGCAATCGGCTACAAGGAAACAGAATGTTTCAATCACTTCATTAACAGTTGAAGATGTTTTTAGATGTTTCTCTTTATCAGTTTTATTTTTGGAAGTGTCAAAAGATTATCAGAAATATCGCTGGAGCTAATTACTATAACTCATATTAACCTATCATAGTGTTAAACCTATACTGGCATGGCACAATGGTTAGCACTACTGCCTCACAGAACCACGGTCCTGGGTTCAACTCCAGCCTTGGGTGACTGTCGGTGTAAGCTTGCACGTTCTCCCTGTGTCTGTGTGGTTCTCCTGTACGGTGCTCTGATTGCCGCCTAGAGTCCAAAGGTGTGCAGGTTAGGTGGATTGGCCATGCTAAAAATGGCCCCATAGTGCCCTGGGATGTGCAGGCTAGATGGATTAGCCACGGTAAATTCGGGGTTATGGGGATAGGGTAGGGGCTGAGAGTCTGGATGGGATGCTTTTGGAGGGTTGGTGCAGATGTGATGGGCTGAATGGCCTCTTTCTGCATTATAGGGATTCTCTATAGTTTTTGTGATTTGTGAACTCTTCAGCGATTCACTGGATAAATTTCCCACACAGCAAAAAGATCTGATGAGAAAATCTTCCCTTAAGAGTCATAGGGGTACACAGGATGAAAACTGACCCTTCGGTCCAACTCACCCATGCCAGATATTCTAAATTAATCTAGTCCCACTTGCCAACATTTGGCCCATATCCCTCCAAACCCTTCCCATTCATACACCCATCCAGATGACCTTTAAATGTTGTAATTGTATCAGCCGTCCCCACCTCCTCTGGCAGCTTATTCCATAAATACACCATGCACTGTGTGAAGATGTTGCCCCTTAGGTCCCTTTTAAGTCTTTCCCCTCTCAACTTAAACCTATGCCATCTAGCTTTGGACTCCCCTTTCCTGGAAGAAAGTCCTTGGCTTTTCGTCACCCTATTCAGGCCCTCATGATTTTATTAACCTCCAATGTTCCAGGGAAAAATGCCCCAGCCTATTCAGGCCTCTCCCGACAGCTCATCTGGAGCTGGGTATTTGTCCATTTCTTTCCCAAGGCTGCTAAAACCTCCAGTACCTCCTCACTCTCTCTGTCAAACTGCTCAAGAACCTCATAGTCCTCTTCCCAAATTCTATACCTTACATCCACCTTCTCCAATGTTCTCCAGCTCAGTGCATAGATTGCCCCTTATTTGTTAATCCATTGATGGCAGAATTCAAACCTCCATCTAGATACCACTTCAGCGGACCACATTCACCCGATAAGTCTTTACACGCATTCATTTTTTAAATTCATTCACCGTATACAGGCATCACTGGCTAGGCCAGCATTTATTGCCGATCCCTAATTACTCCGAGGGCAGTTAAGAATCAACCACATTGCTGTGGTTGTGGAGTCACGTGTAGGCCAGACCCATGTAACGATGACAGTTTCCTTCTCTAAAGGTCATTACCAAGATGGATTTTCCAACAATCAATAACAGTTTCATGATCATCCTTGGATTTTTAATTCCTGATTTTTTATTAAATTCAAATTCCATCATCTGCCATTGCAGGTTTTGAACCCAAGTCCCCAGAACATTATCTTAGTCTCTGGATTAACAGTCTTGCAGTAATACCACTAGGCCATTGCCTCCTCTTAACACTGTTAACACTAACAAAGTGAAGAAAAGGACCAACAAAAGGAAATGGCAGGAGAAGTGGGGTAAGAGAAATTAGCAAAAAAACTCAAGAGGTATACAAACTCTGAAAACATAACTGAAAATGTAAGAGAAGAGGTCAACATCCAGGTCAAAACCAACCAGCTGACTAAGTTCCAACAAAGACTGCTTTTCCCTCCCCTTTCCCTGGATTTTCAATGCAACCATATCACAAATATCTTGTCCTGAAATAGAGATCTTAAGTTAGAGCCAGCATTCTTCAAGCTGGAGTTCACACACTTCAGTTAGTGTAAGGAGCCAGAGGCAGAGATCAGAGTAGGAATCACAGATGCAGATAAAATAACAGATTGCTTCGGCTTTTCACTCTCTCTGATTGAAACATCCATTACTTTACCCGATCTGTCCTGTCCTACAACTCTCTGGGGCTAGTTTGGGTTTTCTGTTTTGTTGAAGTCCAAATCAAATGAGAAAAGTGATTAACATTTAAAGAGACTAAATAACGTACGACAAATGTCCAAAATTTCTTTTTATGTTTCTAGTAGGTTGGCGTGCAAAGCTCCTACTTTTCTGAACTGTAACCAAACACCAAACAGAGGGGTGCAAACAATGAAGACAGACAGGGTGTGAATTCATTTGTGAATTCCTTACCTGTGTTAGGTACAGAGGAGGCACTGGTGGAGCCTGTGTTGGATGTTATACTATTTGCTCTTGACACTACGCTTCCTTTTCTAGTATTGTCAGCAAAGAACCCTGGTGAAAAAAAAAATCAAGTAATTCACTGTGTGTAAACTCAATAAGAAAATGCTCATGCATGAAAGGAAGATATCTGCAGTTAAATCTGTCTCTTATGCTTACATTTTGCATTTATGTACTATCTATCATGATCATAGCATTTCTAAAAATTCCTTTCAGGCAATTGACTGCCTCTCTTAAAGAAATACATGAAAATGTATATCTCAAGGATTGGAGTAGTAGAAGTTATGCTGCAGTTATACAATGCATTGGTTAGACTCCACTTGGAGTACTATGAGCAGATCTGGGCACTACATCTTAGGAAGGATACACTGTCCTTGACAGAAATACCTTAGGTTTGCAAGAATGATACCTGTACTTCAGGGATTAAATTTTGAGGAGAGATTATACAAATGAGGCCTGTTTTCTCTAGAATTTAGAGTGCTCAGGATGATCTGATCAAAGTCTTCAACGTATTAAAAAGAAAATGTGGGGTAGATAAAGATAAATTATCTCCACTGGTTGAGGATTCTAGAACTATGGGTTATAGTCTGAGAATTAGGATTAAACCGTTCAGGAGAGATGTTAGGAAGCACTTCTACACACAAATTATAGTAGATGTTTGGAACTTTCTTCCACAAAATGGCAGTGGATGCTGGATCAGTTCATTTTAAATCTGAGACAGATTTTTTTGTAAGCGAAGTTATTCAGGGATATGGGCCAAAGGCAGATATATGGAGTTAGACCACAGACCATGATCGCATTGAATGGCGGGACAGACTCGACAGACTAAATGGCCTACTCCTGTTCTTATGAAGTAGCCCTTGTTGGCAAGGAGTTGCAGTTCTTCAGCTTTCTCATTTCACCATTAGTTCTTGATTTTCCTAGTTCTTCTTTGTAACTCCACCTTTGTTATATGATGAGTTCTCCGCTTTGGTGATATTGTTTTATCAGGCAGAGAGGGATTTCTTCTTCTTGTCAACGAGGTGTTGGATGTTCACTCTCCTCGAACCAGTCTTGGTGTTTCCTGGTCTTGTAACCAATAATGTTTTCATAGCATGAAAGGATGGCTGTCTTCAGCCTTTCCAGATTTCCTCTATTCTATTAGATTCTCTTATTCTCTCAGATTTTGGTGAAGACATTGTTGTAAGTTTACCAGTCCTCGTAGCTCTTGAAACTGCTCAACACTGGCTTCTTTCGGAATTATTTCTTCATCTTCAGTTGCTTCTAGTGGCATTTGGCACATGAAGGAGCAGATGAAATGTTGGCCTGTCCATCACTTTGGTAAGGAGGACAAACTTTTGATCTCATGATTGAACAATGTAGTTGTCATGCTCATTTGGTGAGCAGGATAATCCTGTTAGAGTTGGAATTCTCAACTCCTCCCTTTCTGATGGTTCCTTTTCAGAGATGGGTAACCTTTTCAACCTGGTGCTGAAATCTCCAAGAAGAATAATTTTATCTTTCTTAGGTATGTTGGTGACTATGGTGTCTAGGGTGGAGAGCCATGAGACATTTGTTGATGCCAGAGAGCTCCAAGAGTTCCTATTTGAGTTTGTTTACAATGGCGAATTCAATTCCATTTGCCCTGGGTTGATGCTCGGATTTACCTCTTGAGAAGCAGGTGTAACCACCACCACCACCACCATCACCATCATACCATCATTTTCCCTCAGCTGCACTTCGAGTACCCTGCAGGGCAAAGTTATCAATGTTGAAGTGCCCAATTCATGGGCAATAAGGGCAGTTCATTGTTCTAGATGATGTTTTCTTGTTATCCATGAGGGTTCACACAGTCCGAGTTTGATTTGACTTTAGTTTTTATCTCACAGGTAGATGAGCCCACTGGATGCGCATTTTCAGCCAGGTTGCTGATGGAACGGACTATATTGGGTCATCTTTTCTCGCCCCTTCCTTGTGCTGGGTGAGCAGGAGGATCCAGAGGGCTGCTCAGTTGTGAACCAAACTGCTGAAACAGTCCCCTGTTCCTATTCTAAGAGTGAAACAACTGAGTTCAATTCCACTGTCTTATGTGCAGTTCTGAATCTAGGGACTTCTAGATCTCTCAATTCTGTCCCTGTTACCTCTTGTCAATCATTGCAGGGCAATTACATTGTGTAATTGGGAGCTTGAATTCCTCTAGGTAGACGCCTTGTGCTGGATATCTTTTAACATGGGGATGGCATTGCACATCATCAGTCACACAGTCCTTGACAGAAGGTAGACTGAGCTCCAGTGGCAAGAAAACCTCAGATGTAGGCCAGACCAAGAAAATCTTGGTATCTCCCTACTGTAGTCTTCATCTGTTGTTGGAGCTGTTGATATAACATGAACATCTTCTGTTCAGGACTTGTTTTGGATTGCGCATTGTCTGGTTCTTTCTCTCTGACTCTACCATCATGGGTGACCCTGCCAGGAGTCGAGAATTCCTGACAGCATTGCTCTCAGGCTCACAGAACACTCAACCCTCTCCACCGCTAAAGGTGATAATCCACAGACAGCACTTGTCGGACCACAACTAGAATACTGAGAGCAGTTATGCGCCCCTTATATAAAGGATTGGAGGCAGTCCGGAGAAGGTTCGCTAGGGTGATCCTGGATATGGAAGGAATGTCTTATGGAGAGATATTGAGTAGACTGGGCTTGTACTTGTTGGAATATAGAAGAATGAGAGGTGACCTTATTGAAACATACAGATTGACAAGGGTAGATGCAGAAATCTGTTTCCCTTTGTGGGAGAGTCCAGGACCAGAAGGCATAACAAGGGGGTGCACATTTAAGACAGAGATGAGGAAGAATTTCTTTTGTTAGAGGATAGTGAATCTGTGGATTTCTTTATGCAGAGGCTGGCTCATTAAGTATATTCAAGGCCAAGGCTGACAAAATTTTAATCTGTAAGGGAACCAAGTATTATGGGGAAAAGGCAGGAAAGTGGAGTTGAGGATTATCAGATCAGCTATGATTTCAATGAAGAGTGGAGCAGACTCTGACCAACTTCTGCTCCTAAGTCTTACTGCCCATTCCCAAAGCCAAAATGGCAGTTAAAAGTCTGACAATTGCTGCGGGTATGCAGTCACATGTAGGCCAGACCAAGGAAGATAGATATTGGTGAAGCAGACAGGATTTCATGACAATCATCAGTGGTTACATGCTAGCATACACAAACTATCTCTAGATAGTCTGACCTAGAACCTAGAACATACAGCAGAACAACACAGCAGAGGCCTGTCGGCCCACAATGTTGTGCTGACTTATTATCCTGCTAAGATCAATCTACCTTGCATACTGTTGAGTTCCCTTTTAGGAGATTCCTTCGCACTTGATACAAATGCAATACGCCAACTTCTGTGAATAGTCACAGTTTATTTAAGCAAGTACAAGCTTTGGAGGATCACTTAACAATCTTCGCAGGGTTTGCGGAGCCGTGTCAAGCGATGCTCCCCGTAAGGGAACTGTCCTACCTTTATATAGGTTTTTACAGCACAGTCAGACATGCATACAAGATACAATTTTTTTCTCGCCCATAATCACGTAACTTAATCATCTAACAGTAAAACAAAGGTTAGCTGCCCAAAAACAACGTGTAAGACGAGATAGTTCCTTATCCTTTTAGCCTTAGTTCAACATTTACAGAGAGCAGAGTATAATTAGATTACCCCATTTTGTCTGCGAGACAGGGGCGCCCACGAAGCACCTAATTTCTTATATGTCAGCAGAATTGATATTAACCCTTTAACATTTCACATACCCTACATTTTACTGTCCTCCATGTGCCTATCCAAGAGTCGCTTAAAAGTCTCTAAAGCATCTGACTCCGCCACCACTGCCGGCAGCGTATTCCGCACGCCCACCACTCTCTGTGCGAAGAACCTACCTCTGACATTTCCCCTATATCTTTTTCCAAACACCTTAAAATTATGCCCCCTCGTAATAGTGATTTCCGCCCTGGGAAAAAGTCTCTGACTATCCACTCTATCTGTGCCTCTCATCATCTTGTATATTAAGTCACCTTTCATCCTTCTTCGCTCCAATGAAAAAAGCTCTAGCTCCCTCAACCTTTCCTCATAAGACCTGCCCTCCAGTCCAGGCAGCATCCTGGTAAATCTCTTCTGCACCCTCTCTAAACCTTCCACTTCTTTCCTGTAATGAGGTGACCAGAACTGAGCACAATATTCCAAGTGTGGCGTAACCAGAATTTTATAGAGCTGTAGCATATCGTCACGGCTCTTAAACTCAATTCCCCTGCCAATGAAAGCCAACACACCATACGCCTTCTTTACAACCCTATTAACCTGGGTCGCAACTTTAAGGGATCTATGGACGTGGACCCCAAGATCCCTCTGTTCCTCCACACTGCCTAGAATCCTGCCATTAATCCTGTATTCTGCATTCAAATTCGACCTTCCAAAATGAATCACTTCACATTTTTCTGGGTTGAATTCCATCTGCCACTTCTTTGCCCAGCTCTGCATCCTGTCAATGTCCCGTTGCAGCCTACAACAGCCCTCCACGCTGTCCACAACTCCACCAACCTTCGTGTCATCGGCAAACTTACTAACCCAACCCTTCCACTTCCTCATCCAAGTCAGTTATCAAGATCACAAAGAGCAGAGGTCCCAGAACAGATCCCTGCGGAACACCACTGGTCACCGAGCTCCAGGTCGAATACTTTCCATCTACTACCACCCTCTGTCTTCTATTGGACAGCCAATTTTGTATCCAGACAGCCAAATTTCCCCGAATCCCATGCCTCCTTACTTTCTGAATCAGCCTACCATATGGAACCTTATCAAATGCCTTGCTAAAATCCATATACACCACATCCACTGCTCTACCTTCATCGATGTGTTTTGTCACATCCTCAAAACTTCAATAAGGTTTGTGAGGCATGACCTGCCCCTCACAAAGCCATGCTGGCTATTTCTAATCAAACTATGCTTTTCCAAATAATTATAAATAGTATCTCTCAGAAACCTCAAAAATAATTTGCCCACCACAGAAGACAGACTGACTGGTCT